ATCGGTGAAAAACCGAGATTTTTGATTCCGAATTTCAAACTGAGATTTCTCTCTCAAAACTCAACGATTTTTCGAGCTATTTGAACCAAAACGTTCCTAAGCCAGAGCTCTACAATTTATATGCCAAGAGTTTTGGCTTATTAGTTGAAGAAATCGGACAAATCGCGAGTTTTAGGCTGATGGTTCGTTTTCTTTAAACATATATGTACTATTGTCAAAACAGGTCCCTCATCTTTGAAAAAGATGAGATTCGGCCCCCTCAAGTTTCTGACATTTACCATCAGACCCCTCCTGACGTAATATCTTACATTTTTGGTCCAATAGTTAAAAGAAAACAATTTTACTTTATTTTTCTTTCTGTCTTTCTTTTCATTATTTATTTATTTAAGATTTCTATAATTATTTCCTTTAGTTTATTACGTAAATATTTTAACACTTCAAATAAATTTAAAAAAAATATTTGAAGGCTCATATAATATTATTTATATATTTAAAAAAATAGGTTTTACAATTTCTGATAAGCACTCAGTTGATCACAATGGTTTATCAAAATGTTATTGTAAATAAAGCACAATGATCATATTAAATTTGATCAAGAAATTAGGTTTTTAAGCACAATCAACAAAAGTATGATGCGACAACAATCAGATTATTCGATATGCGAGAGAAATGAATGAAGATCTGTAAGAACGAATTTACAGATTCTGATATTAAAAAAATATTGAATGTATATCAATCAACGTAAAAAAATATCAGAAAACAAATTTGAATACAAATGAGCGTATTATCAACGAAAATAATTTTTTTATAAGGGACGTGATAATAACAGTTTGAAGAATAGCTGAAACAGGTATTGGAGTTATGTACTACGAGAAATTACGCAAGTAAAATCTCAGGAAATATTTGTTCAAAAAATATACTCGTTTCCCAAAAAAAAATTATTCACTTTCCAAAAACATTTATTTAAAACTTCTAGGGACTCCCCCTAGAAAATAGATTATAGAAATGTTTCAGTTAAGCTCAAAAATTAAAAGGAAAATTTTAAGCACGGGTTCTAAATTGAGTGTTTAGAAACCACACTCAGTAAAGCACGGGTCCTGAACTGTTGGTCGGTTGTATCTCACACCTTTAGACTTAATGAAATTGGGCCACAAAACAAGTATACAATAGGGCGCCCCAACGTCGTCTTTCCAAGTAATAAAGTGGTACAAGTACCGGAATATCGTCCACAGAGATTGTAGTCAAAGTTAAATAGGAGTCCAATGAAAGAGATTATTTCAGATGACGATTTTGAAGACTTCTGTTTGATTGTAAGGTGAATTAAAACAAAATACATAATATATAAAAGAAGCAAGGGTGTAAGACTTAAGGTGAGACCCAAACACAAATTCCAGTAGCCAATGTTGTAGGAATGCTACAACAAGCAGTGTTTC